TCTCCTGGCTCAGGGTTCAACAAGGCATACTGATGAGACTCAACAAGGACAAGTGCAGAGTCCTGCCCTTGGGCCGGAAGAATCCCAAGCATTGTTACAGGCTGGGGACAGACTGGCTAAGTAGCAGTTCTGCAAAAAAGGACCTGGGACTTCTAGTGGACGAGAAGCTGGATATGAGTCAGCAGGGTGCCCTTGTAGCCAAGAAGACTAATGGCATATTAGGGTGCATTAGGAGGAGCATTGCCAGCAGATCCAGAGAAATTATTATTCCCCTTTATTCAGCACCGGTGAGGCCACATCTGGAGTACTGTGTCCAGTTCTGCTTCCCCCTCCCCCACACCTCCCACCCCACTACAGAATGGATATGGATGCATTGGAGAGGGTCCAGCGGAGGCGACCAAAATGATGAGGGGGCTGGAGCACATGACCTACGAGGAGAGGCTGAGGGATTTGGGCTTATTTAGTCTGCAAAAGAGAAAAGTGAGGGGGGATTTGAGAACAGCCTTTAACTTCTGATGGGGAGTTCCAAAGAGGATGGAGAGAGGCTGTTCCCAGTGGTGATGGATGGCAGAATGAGGAGCAATGGGCTCAAGTTGCAGTGGGTGAGGTCTAGGTAGGAGATTAGGAAAAACTATTTCCCTTGGAGGGTGGTGAAGTACTGGGATGGGTTCCCTAGGGAGGGGGTTTTAAGTCCCAGCTTGACGAAGCCCTGGCTGGGATGACTGAGTTGGGGTTGGTCCTGCTTTGGGGAGGGGCTGGACTCAATGACTCCTGAGGTCTCTACCAGACCTGGCATTCTAGGATTTCCAAGAGCAGTTGAAGTTGTTGGATTTAATTTCTCGAAGCTGTATTGTGTGGGATTTAGGGACACGTTTTCTCCCTGTGCAACTTCACGATGTCCGAGACCAGCTGGGTCTCTCACTTTAATTGCCTTGATCAGTTTGTGTCCAAGAGCTGGCCTGGCGCTTCCATTAAGGACGTTAAGCATGTAATTGGTCAAGCGTGGAGTCGACAAATATTTTGCTGGTTACATGATTAATTGATTAGGATTAGCACCTCGTGACAGGTCCCGGCAGCTCCATCGCTGCAGCTCTGCATGTAAATCCTTTGTATCCTTTAAAGGCTTTAAATGCAGAGCTCCAGCAGGGGCTCAATCCTCCAGTGTGTCTAGGTCACTCTGGACCCTATCCCTGCCCTCCAGTGTATCCACCTCTCCCCTTAGCTTAGTGTCATCTGCAAACTTGCTGAGGGTGCAATCCCTCCCCTCTGCCGGGGCATTAATAAAGATGCTGAACAAAACCAGCCCTAGAACCGATCCTTCGGACAGTCCACTTGAAACCGACTGCCAACCAGACATCGAGCCACTGATCACTACCCAGTGGGCCCGACAATCTCGCCAGTTTTCCATCTTACCGTCCATGTATCCAATCCATACTTCCTTAACTTGCTGGCAAGAATATTGTGGGAGACTATATCAAAAGCCTTGCTAAAGTCAAGGTATATCACATCTACTGACTTTCCCACGTCCACAGAGCCAGTTACCTCATCAGAAAAGCTAATCAGATTGGTCAGACTCAACTTGCCCTTCGTGAATCCAAGAGTCAGGAATGACTATTCCTGATCACTTTCCCCTCTTCCAAGTGCTTCAAAATGGATTCCTTAAGGATCCCCTCCATGATTTTTCCAGGGACTGAGGTGAGGCTGACTGGTCTGTAGTTTCCTGGATTGTCCTTCTTCCCTTTTTTACAGATGGACACTACATTTGCCTTTTTCCAATCATCCAGGACCTCTCCCGATCTCCACGAGTTTTCAAAAATAATGGCCAAAGACTCTGCAATGACATTTGCCAACTCCCTCGGTACCCTCGGATGCATTAAGTCTGGTCCCATGGATTTGTGTGTGTCTTGCTTTTCTAAATAGTTCCTAACCTGTTCTTTCTCCAGAGGGCCGCCCACCTCCTTCCCATACTGCATTGCCTAGCGCATTTGTCTGGGAGCTGACCTTGTCTGTGAAGACAGAAGCAAAGAAAGCATTGGGTACTTCAGCTTTCCCCACATCATCTGTAACTAGGTTACCTCCTTCAACCAGTAAGGGCTCCACACCCCCTGATCACCCTCTTACTGCTAACATGCCTGTAGAAACCTCTCTTGTTACCGGTCACATCCCTTGCCAGCTACAATTCCAATTGCGCTTTCGCCTTCATGATAACTCCCCTGCATTCTCGAGCAATATATTGATACTCCTCCCTAGTCATCTGTCCAAGTTTCCACTTCTTGTCAGCTTCCTTTTTGTGTTTAAGCTCGCCGAGGATTTCCCTGGTAAGCCAGTCTGGTCGCCT